TCTGTAGAAGGCGCTGTGAAGCACATCCTGTTCTAGCTCTGGGGCCCTTCCCCCCTCTGCAGCCTTACCCAGTGCAGAGAATGCGCCCCCTACTGACTCCAACACTCATCGCCTTTAGCCGACTTGGCTGCGGTGCATTTTGGGTGGGGGCTGGTATTTTCTTCATGGCCATAAACCAGAAGCAACAATGCAGATTTATAAAGAAACTGTATCAAGCTATCCAAGAGATTTTCCCCCTCTTCCCTCCCAATTTGAAGGTACAAGACACTGGCACAAGAAGCATCAGGGATGGGTACTGGGTGTGAGGGGATGGACAGCATTAAAATGGCAAACACAGGAAACAGTTTGGTTCTTTTCCCTCCTAAGCCTTTGTCTGTGAAATGGGGTTATGGCAAGAACTGTCCAGAGGAACTGGTGAATGCAAGAACATTAAGAAGACTTAGTGTGGGTGTGAGTATGTGGCTAAAAAGGATATTAGACTTTAGACCCCGATCTTGGACAGAAGAGGAAGAGCAGCAATCGCGCCTTTTCCAGCAGACAAGACATCTAGTGTGGGGGGCGGAGGGGGGGCAGGGAGGTAGCCCAGAGAAAAACAGGAGAATAAGAGGGTGCTCAAAAAACTTCCCATTCATTTCATTAAAAAAAAAAAAAATCTTTTCGTAGCTTTTTGAATTTCCATTTTCTGCCATCTTACTGCAAAGTTGGGGCTCAGAAAGCTTCTAAGAGGCCGTGCTGACCAGGCAGCTGAGATTGAGAAAGGGGGTGGCTGACTGTGGTCAGGACTGGAGGGAAGCTGGCATGTTGGGGAGGCAGGTTTGCTCTGGGGAGGCAAAGACTTTCACTCCATGCCGTGCATGCTCCCCGCCCCCCAACCTACTCCCCCCTCCCCCAGCTAAGGGTGGGCAGATCTGGCAGAAGGCTCGTTCCAGGCACTGGGGTGTGCGTGGGGGGCTCGTTTGGGGGAGGGGCGGAAGGGATTAGTTCCAGGGATGGGAGAAGCTCGGTCTGGCTGGGGGCGGGGTGCGGGGAGATGCCATTAGCTGCAAAAGCCCCGGGTGGCCAGGCTGGCCGCCGGCCTCGGCAGGCTCGCGGGGCGGAGAAGGGGGTCGGGCTGCAGGAGGAGGCGCCTGGACCCCCGACCTGGGCCGGGGTAGCGGTTCGCGCCTGGACTGGTGCCCCGCGGGCAGCGGAGTATGCAAAGGAGCGTGTGTGTGCGTGGACGGTGGCAACGCGAGCACAATGCGCCCCGCGCCCGGGCCGGGCGGCAGGGCAGGGCAGGGCCGCGGGTCCGCGCGCCGGCTTACCTTGACTCGGCCTCGAGGCGCGCGCGGGGCCGGCGTGCTCGGGGGCCGGGCGGCGGCGGCGGCGGCGGCGGGCGGATGGCGGCGGCACGGCGGTGGCGGCGAGGGCGCGCCCCGGGCCTCGTCGCGCTCTGGCTCGGCGGGCTCCGGCTCGCGCCGCGGCCGCGGCTGCTGCCGGGGGGCGCGGCGGGCGCAGCAGAGCGGCGGGCGGCGGCGGCGGCGCGAGCGGCTCCCTCCAGTCCCCGCGCGGGCGACGGCGGCGGCGGCAGTGTCGTCGAGCGGTGCAGACAAAGGAGGGGCGGAGGGAGGAGACGGAGGGTGTGGGAGCGGCGGCTTCACCGGCGCGGGCGGGCGGGCGGCGGCCGCGCTCTTCTCGCTCCGCGGCTGCGGGGACCGAGAGAGGGAGCTGTGTCTGAGGAGACGCCAAAATCCCCCTTAGCGCTGCCTGCGGGAGGGGGAGGGGGCACAAGATGGCGGCGGCCGGGGGGCGGGAGTTCAGCTCATGGATCCCGGCGGGCGGCGGAGGGGAGACCGGGGCGGCGGAGGCGGCGGCGGCAACGGGCGGGGGAGGGGGCCGATCCCGCGTCTCCCCTCGGCAGACAATACAAGCGCCTCGGAGCGAGTCCCCGAACCTGCCCTAGCCAAAATGGCGGCCGAGAAAGAGCGGAAGTGACGTAAGTACCTCATTAGCATAAGAGGACTCATTGTCCAGCTAAGTGGGGGGGCAGTGGGGGACAGTACCCCTTCCCCCTGTGCCCCCCAGGGACAACTCTCCTATTCCCATCTGTGCTTACACCCAACTTTTCCTGAGGGAGTGTGCCCCAGCACCCCACCCCCGCCTAGGGGAAATTATATAATCCCCACTGAGGGGGAGCTCTCGCGAGAACCAGGAGGATTTGCCACTGACCCACTAGGAGGCGCCGCGGATAATGGCCGCACTGCGCTCTCGGGGCCCGTGTGCTCCGCGGGCGACTTTCTCTGGCCGCAGCGCCGGCGGCGGAGGCAGAAGCAGCGGGCCGCAGCACGCCCAGCACTCAGTCAGGTGGCCGTGCTGGGGATCCCTGCGCGGGCCCAGCTGGGCCTGGACTACATCTGGCGGGAGGGGTGTGCGGGGCAGCCGGGGCGGCTCCACGTGCTGGGAGGCGCGCGCGCTCATGGGCTGGGCCACAGCGGGAAGGGGCAGGGATACCTGCCAGTTGCGCCTGACGCCGCCTGCCTTTAAGGAGGTGTGAGGGCCTCGTGCTTCGCACACCCACTGGAGATGAGACAACCCCATGGACGTCTGGACCCGTCTGTGGGTGGGTGGGGCACTCGTGGACCGGGCTGAGTTTTACAGAAGGCCTGCTCTTGACATTCTTCCAAGTCAAAGTGATGGACTCTTCTCTTTGGCCTGAAGAAAACAAGTGGGATCCCTAGTGTTTTGAAACCACCCAATGGTGAAGCCTAAGGATGCAAAGTGATGTTGCCTCCGAGTTTCCTCAAGAACCTTAAAAAACACCTTGAAGTCCTAGAGCCAGTGACTTCTAGTGCTCTCATAACATGACAGCACGACAACAGGGATGCAGTTTGTAACTGTAGGTCAAACCCAACCAATACATTGTCTCAACATTTTAAAACCCATCTTTTATGTGCATCTGAGAATATATAATAGGTTAAAAGTATTTAAAAGTAATAAGTATCAATTTTAAAGATACCAAGCCCATTGTTTTCCAATATGTGGTCTGTAAATACTGTAACGTTACAAGCTCAGAGAGTTTCCAGTCATACTTACCATGCCCAAAGAATCTGACTTAAAGAAGTATGATGCCTAAGACTGGTAAGCAAGTTTAACAAACCTTCATTTAACATGGTCTTCCATTAATTTCTGCAATTGTGATAAAATACATCTTTAAAAGTGAAATCAGTATTTGAATGGAAAACAACAGCTGGAAAATTTTGTTAATAAAAGGTGTGGGAAGGAAGCACGTGATTGAGAGGACTAGAGATAAAGAATCCAATTACACATCGCATAAGACAAATACTAATACGAAATAAGCAAAATAAACTTATCTTTAGTTTTCCTTAGATATGCTTAGATTTCATACAGGGATAAAACAAACACAAAGGAAGAACATCTGGATTTCATCCTTGGTTTCATTTATGAAGCAAAAAGGGATGCTAGATTCAGATGTAAATGTTTAAAATTATTTCAGTGTTTAAGTCACCAGATTTACTACAAAAATCATCTAAATAGTTCAAATTCTTTTCTAAATGATATCCAAATGGTGAAAGAATGTTCACTGCTCAACCATTCTTGGTAAATTCCAATTGATAGTGCTATAATGATTGTGAGAACAAGAATTGAAGATTTCTACTCTTGTGAGGCATGAGAAGGCAACACTATCTCTATAGTAGGTTCTCTGAGATTGTTACTTAATTTCTGTTCCATGTACTTGATGCTGGAAACTCCATTTAAAGAGAATAGATTCTTAACTCTCCAAGAAAAACAACACAGGAAGAAAAAAAAAAAAAAAAAAAACTTCTGAGAATATCACAATTGTATTACAGCTTAAAACAATTTTTTTTTTTTTTAAATCAAGAACTGTTGAAGTTCTCGTTCTTAATGATGAGAGAAGTTATTTCCTAAGGAAAGTTGGTCCCTGGTGGGCTAACCAAACAGCTTTGGGCAGAAGAATTAACAGCAGTAGTTCCCAGTGGAGTGTGTAGTTTTAGGTTCAACTATGGGAGTTGGGGAGAGACTAACGTTCAAAATGACACCAAAGGTTTTAGTCTAGTATTCGTTTTTGGTAGGATCTGAGAGTAAGGCAAATGAAAAATCAGACTTTCAGTTTCTTTAGCACAGTTAAATTAAGTCAGTCAATACTATTCACTAGATACAATTAAGTACGCCTCCTCTTCCTTTTATTTGCAAAAGAAAGTCAACTAGATATTAAGCTTATTTGCTCAAAGTATGCCCTTACTCAAATGTTAAGATACTGTATGACCCAAAAGCTATGATACAATTAAATCACCTATGATAGACAAGGTAGGTAAACGGAATATTTGCCCTGGCTTTACAATACAACTTATCCTTCATTTTAACTGGCAGAACACTTTCCTGGTGATCTGCCACAGAGCTACAGGGAAGAGATTTTTGCCACATTAATAAAAAGACATGAGCTTTGTTCAGGGGTTTGAAATAAAATGTAAACAAAGATTTTGAGATAAAGCGAGGCAAAATGTTTTTCCATACTGACAGGGTTATTACTTAAAAGAGAAAAACAAAAAACAGCTATGCAATCAACTGCTGCCAATTGTTTTCCAATTCACAATATGTACTTCAAATACACTTGCTCTAAGTAGACAAAATGCTTCTTCAATTCAACCCAAATGCTCTAAGTATATTATCTAGCTTAAGAAATTTGAGACTTTTTGAAGAAAGGGCAGAGACTTATACTTCTTCAACTGGTAATGGAAACAGCTTTACTTATCTCATAAATACAGTTAACTTTCCCCTTACTTCTGACATCTCCTAGGTATAAAGAGCTAGGAATCTAGTTTTCATGACAAATACTTGAGATTCTGTTTCATGTCAGAAACTCTGCATTCACATACTGTAATGAAAGCAGCAACATTTTGTGCAAAAAAAGTATACATTTATTCATAGATCTTAATACAGCAAAATATAAATGAAAATTGAAACACTGCTCATTGAACCAATAACTTTTATAATTATTTAATATGAAATATAAAATGGGAGTTTCTCCAGAAAAAAAGATTTGCATGAAAATTTCCTTACCTCATGGTTTATGCTTTAAGAGTACGTTTTACAAAAATCAGTAACCAGGCTTCTTTTATGTTTACATTGAAATGACCATGGTAAGCATAAATGAGTAACTTTCTTTTATGTAGTAGCAAAAAGAGTCAACAATCCTTTCAAGAAAGAGACTATTTCATTTCCTCCCAACTTGGATTCACCATAAACACGATCCACAAATGATATTGGAACCTGGTTGAAAAAATGTACATTAAAATCAGTTTTCAAAAAATTAGGGACCAGTAGGTATTCAACTGTTATTAATGGAACAGAAAAATTCAGTCCCACAATAAGTCCTTTAACTGAGTTCAGAAGTAAGGGACTCAGGAAGTAATTGCATGTACTGCCAAGCCTTTAAATTGAACACACTTTTATCATCTAAAAATAAGTCACAAGAATCAAATCTACAACTGTTAGAAAAGCTAAATTTCAAGGAAAAAGTACACTTTAAATGTATAATGGCCCTTCACTGAGCTGCTTCAGTATGTCCAGTTTAGCTGCCACTGTTTGGCATTAAGCTGGAAACCTTATAACTTAAACAAGTGGCATTCTAGTGTAGTGCAGAGCTTCCCTAAGAGCTCACTGTTACCCTAAAATATCACAGGACTCTTACTCTGGCCACTTCCACTTGTTCACAGGAAATGGGCACATGGGATTCATTATTCATGACAAAGTATGGTGGTTGCTGGCTCTAAGAGGAAAAGCAGCTAAGGCACTCAAAATGAGGCTGACTGGTCAAAATAAAGGCTTCAGATGAAGGAGGTACCAGTGACTTTAATTTTCAGTAGGTCACGTGTATTACATATGAAAGGGATTCACCCTTTAGTGCAGAGACATTCTAAACAACTGGAAACCCACAACATTAATTTAGTAGTTATCAAAGTTAAACTTTTTATTACAACATGTCCACACTGTACTGTTCCTTTATGAGGAATATGACATTACTACATCAGTTACATACCTCACCAATAGTATAATTCATCTGTCTTGCCCGAACAATCATCTCCATCTGGAAGACATAGCCCTTAGAAACACATTTTTCTATTAATTTCTGTAGAACTTCCTTTCGGTATAATCTGTAAAAAATCAAAATGTACATGAACATCTGGATAAATATCACTTGCCTACATGTATATCTTGAGTTTTCCAAGAGTTCACTGGTATTTATACAGCCTGACTTTCACTAGCCACTGGCACAAAGAAAAATTCTCATACTTGATGACTCTGATACTTCTGGTCCCAACCAAGAAAGGCCATGAAATATGTACCACGTAGTCTGGAATAATCCGGAAAAACGAATTCTCAGTACTTTTCAGAGAATCATCTTCCTATCAGACACTAACTACTGGGAATTGTTAAAATATGGTAAAATGAAGCATTTGATACAGAACCACCTATTCTTAAATTTCCTAAAAGTTTACATTTAATGTTGAAAGGGGAAAAAACTATTCCAAATATTGGAAAAACAGAATTGACATTTACAATATATATATAAGACAAGAAAGAATACATAACTGATTGGAACTTCAGCATACATGTCTATTTCCCGAGATTTACTTAAGACATTTCCTAGGATAATATGATTCCCACTAGGATAAGCAGTGCATCTACATTAGGACAGGTACTGAGGCATTACAGGAAAGAGGGGATCCTGGTAGGATTTATCTATTACGAGTGAGGTCACAGACATTTATAGTGGGCTGATATACAGCCTAACCTTTAGATGGACTGCAGGTCACACACAGAGCTCAACAGATTTACAAAGCCAAAGAGAGGAACTGCGAAGTCCTGTGGGTAAACCAAATCACTTTCTTCAGTAACTATGAATAGCAGGGAGTTATTTCCAAAGAGATTTTGTTTGTTTGTATCAATGAGTAAGATGCCAGAAATTCCTACCTTTACTAGGAGAGGCAGTTTGGCATAACTTTATTTCTCACCAAGTTAAGACCACCTGGACCTACAATGTCTATTGTTACCTGGAATCCAGATTTTACTCCAGGATTTTCTAAGGTTATCATTACCTTTTGGCTTTTAAGTGTGTATGACACAATAGACAGACAGCAGAGCCCTTGGAAGAATGTAAGAAGAGAGTTTAGTGTGTGCACTCCTTTCCCACAAAGGTCCTGAATGAATTCAAAGAAATTTGAAATAAATATGAAGAGTGAAAATATGATGGTAGTAATACTCATTAACACAATTAGCAATATGTCTTACTATGTTTTAGGAGTGAACTAAAAACTAAGGATATATAATGTCACATGATGTTAAGTGAGGGAGGGAGGATATTAGGATGATGGGATGGGAAGGACTGACAGTGATGGGACTATTCCAGCATTGCCTTTACAAGTAGAGTGGGCTACGATTTCTTTCCCTTTAAGAATCATTTTCATTTTCTTTCTTTCTATTGGTACTGGGGATTAAACCCAGGGGCACTTAACCACTGAGCCATAACCCCAGCCTCTTTAGTCTTTTATTTATAGACAGGGTCTCACTGAGTTGCTTAGGGCCTCACTAAGTGGTGAGGCTGGCTTTGAACTTGCAATCCTCCTGCCTCAGCCTTCCAAGATGCTGGGATTACTGGCATGTGCCACCACGCTTGGCTCTTTAAGAATCATTTTCTAAGATACTTCTTTTCAGTACTACCTTCATCTTCCCCATTGCCCCCTCCCATGGTATCTTCAAACATATGGCTAATAAATTAAAAGGACACAAATGTAAGACTTTGTTCCCATACGTATGATCAGCATCCAGCTGGTCTTTGCTATTAAATGGCTTTATGTCAGATTGCAGCTTTCTGAGATTCCTTTTTCTAAAAATATTTGTATTCCTTTTTCTTCTAATTCTAGGGACCTAAAGACAAAGAACCCCATTGAATGATAAACGTGCCCCATCATCGCTCTGACTGTGTAGATCCAGAACTCCTAGGCCATTCTTTAGCTTAAGCCCCATTTGCTCTGAGGTAGTGAGGAAGCCTCATGTCATTGCTGTTTTTCTTCCCAACCTCTATCTCCATGACTCAGGAGCTACCCCGGGACTTCTCTCAAAACCATCAAAATTGTGGCCTGTGAAATCCAGAGAGGGAAGTTCTGTACAGAGATTTTGTGAGTGCCACTATTCTTTGTATTACTGCTACACGGCAACCAGAGATCTTAATCAGATCACACCCAAGATTCCTTTGCTTTAAATTTGGAATTGAAAGGATATATTTATAGAACTCCTTTCTTTTATATACCAAGTTTTTTTTTTTTTTTTTTTTTAAATAATTTTGAGACAGGGTCTCTCCCTAAGTTGCTGGCTTCACACTTGGGATTTTCCTACTTCAGCCTCCCAAATTGCTGGGATTGATTATAGATATGCACTAACATGCCTGGCCCAATGTCTAGTTTCTAATCAACTTACTTTTCAGCTATAGAGGTTTATTTTTTCTTTTTATTTCCCTTCAACAGTCAGCAACTAACAATGAATTCTGACAAACAACCTAGATTTTTCCATTAAAGTAGAACCTAACATTATTTAATAGAAAACAATAAACAAGTAATATAAATTAAGTAATGCATGGGGTTTGGGACCTTAAGATAAAAGAGCAGGCATTTTCTAGTTTCAGAAACTGGGGAAAAAAATCTGGCAATCTTTAATTGTAATTTGGCCCAGTCATACAAAGCAATTCACACGGCTGGGCACAGGGCTTGGTGGTAAGTGCTTGCCTTGCACATTTGAGGCCCTGGGTTCAAAATTCCTAACGTGTGTGTACACACACACACACACACAGCCAAACTAAAAAAAACCACGTTATGTGTATAGATTACGCGTGCATGCACGCATGTGTGTGTATATGTCTGGAGAGTAGCTCAGTGTAGATCACTTGCCTAGCCTGCCTGAGGCCCTGGGTTCGATCACCAGCACTGACACCACATTCCCCCCCTAAATTTACATGGAGAACAAAGTAACTAAAAACTCTACCTAAATAGTAAAGATTCTAAGTTTTTTTTTCCTGTAGGTAATGCTGTAAGTACTCATAAAACTATAGAAAATTACTGGACTATGTGTTGTTGTTCTCAGGAGCATATTCCCAGTCACTTAACAGCAATGTTCTACGTGAGCAATTGAGCCCAATACTAAGGTAAGCACCACACTGACCTAACTCCTGCTCTCAACTTTTAAAGAAAAAGTACGATATTTCTCCTTCAGAGACATTTAGGCTACATAAGCAACTTCTGTCCTTCTAGCATTCCAGGACAGAAACAGGGTAGAATATAAAGCATTTCTTTAAAATAGCTATTGTAACATAAGAAATTTAGGCAGGAAGTTATAAATAGTAGAAATTTTCACTGTACCTGAAACTTCCTGTTAAATCAGATGCGCCTGGTCTCAGCAAAACCTGAGTTATAAAATTGGCCCCACGGCTGCCAAATAAAACAATCATTTTCTTAATTAAATACAACTGATATACAAGAGAAACATTTCCAAGAGCACAATGCTAAAAGTGCTAATTTCATAAATGCAGCATTAATTACACAAAAATGTTAATTCTCTACAACAAAGAGAAATTTTTAGTGAAATGAAACCTGACACCCATTTTTCAGAAAATAGGGACTCTTGTTCTTTGAAAGTGAACTTAAGACCCATAAAGCAATCATCCTTTTAAACTTTAGCTAAGAACAAAAACAGAAAATAGAACTGATATTTACCAATGGTTATCACTTAGAATTATAAATGTCAGTAAGAAAAAGAGATCAGGGATTGGATAAAGAATTTAACAGATGGAAAAAGACAGGGATCTGGTAAGGGGTTTCCTTTTCAGATTCTAATCTGCACAGAGATTGAATTTTTGTTGGGAATGTATAAAAATGGTACTTTTATAATGGTATGCAGGTAGAAGAGGATGTTGGCTTTTAATGATCTCTGGAAATTGATTCACTTTTTTAGCCTTAAATCTGCTTTGCCACTTTAACAAAGGCCTTATACTAGGTTGCTTAAACAACAGAAATTTATTTCTCAGTTTTAGAGGCTGGGAAATCCTAGATCAAGATGTTGGCTTTCTGTATTCTCACACAAAGGGAAGGAGAGTAAGTTCTCTAGCCTCTTCTTATGAAGGCACCAGTCCTACCATGGAGCTTATCCTCTAGATACCTCCCAAACTAATTACTTCCTAAAAGCTTTTTCTCCAAATACCAATGTATTGAGGATTCTGGATTCAAACAAGAACTTTGGTAAAACACACTCAAGTCAACAACAATGACTTCAAACACAAGAGTATCATCAATTATAAGATAGTAGTGATTAATAGCTATTATTAATCTTTCAAAAAGATGCCAAGTGTCGAAAGAAAGTGACTTTTGTATTGCACCTATTTTAGCATGTGTAGATTCAGAAAGTTTTCTGGGACAATCTGAAGTGAGTGGCTTTCTTCCTAAGCCCAAGCCTCCCTAGCTAAGACTGTATGCAAACCACCAAGATTAGGGTATAAGGGATGATGGCTAACAAAAACATTTTCCCTTCAATTTGCTTCTAATACCTATAAAAATATTATATAGTTTATCCCTTTATCACAAATGGGTATAAACAAAGGAATATGTGTATGTATGTGTATACTTTTGTACATCTACACAAGATAGTATATTTATTTTTGAGAGGGTCTTGTATGTTGCCCAGGCTGAACTCAAACAATCCTCTTACCTTAGCTCCCAAGTAGCCATGAATACAGGTGTGTCCCACCATGCTGGGAAATATGTTATTTTAAAACTGGGGTCTTTTAATTAATTAAAATGTTGTAAGAGCCACTCAATCTTGAGGGGTTTTTTCCTCACATTTTTTATTGGTGCATTATAGTTATACATAATGTTCATAAATGCACACAATGTAACAATATAATCTGTCAGCTTTGGGTTTGAATTCTAGATTTGAATCATACTGATAAGAACTAAAGTTTATACTCTAGGACACTGCAGATGATATTAACAGCTACTAACAGGTACAACTAAAAGGTGTAATGTATCTGTGATTGGGAGTCCTTAATTTTAAATAATAGGTAAATGACCCGAGTGCCTTTAGAGATCAAGTTCACTTGTTTTCAACACTGGCTCACAACATTCATCTAGGAAATCTGTGAAAAACGCTGAAGCCTTTGGCCCACTTTTGGAGATTCTCAAATGGTCTGCAGTGTGTGTGAGGAAAGGATGACAAATAGGTGTAGTTGTATGAGATTTTCTCTCTACATGATTCTAATATTTAGCAGGACTGAAAAGCACTGCTTTATCCAACTCCATGCTACAGAAGATAAGATTCTTAAATGTTCTACATGGGGTTCTAGTAGAGGCAAAACTGAGATGAACTTAAATGAATCTTTAATAGGAGTGAAATGGGTGGTAAAAGATATCAGTGACAAGAAATATATCTCATCTTCCTGCTACCCTGAAAAAAGTACGTTAGGTAAAATATGAAAAATATTTTTTTTGTGGTCTTCCCATCAAAAAGGGAATTCTCCCACCCCCATCTCTTGTTCATGAAATGGTTTGACAAAAAAAAACTGACCCTGTGTGAACCCCCAGGAGCCTAGAATTCAAGTGGTCTTGCAGCTTCCACTGCTGTACTCTTGGATGTTCCCTGAAGGCGCCTGGCAAAGAAGCTGCTCCAGCTTTCTGGAGATGAGAGCCCTGCAGAGAACTGAGAACAGCAACAACTGCCAAATGTTGCAAAAACCCCAACAGAAGCCTGCCGAGACGCCAACAGCCAATCCACAGAGTTGTGAGAAATGATGGATATTTTGACATTGAACTTTGGGATGGTTTGTTAAGACAGTAATAGAAATTTGGAACAGGTTTTGTTTCCATCTTAAGATGAGGAAGGTAAAGGTCAGAAAAAGTAAAATTGGAAGCAAATGACAAAGAGGATATCCCAGGCATATCTGACTCCAGGGCCCTATATTCCCCCCAAATAGAATATACTAGTTTATGTTGCTTAGTAAAAGTTGGCATATTTTTTTTACTTAAAGTAATAAAAATATAAACATGGGGGGAGGGATCCTACCTATCCAGCCTCAAAATATAGATGAATAACTCAATCAAATCAAAACTGAGGTCCAGTAGAGTAACTTTTACTGAACCAGACCATTTCTACCAAAATTTCGTAAGTTTTTGATAATTGTCCAAAATAAAACACACTGAGCAAAGGAAAAAGTGTAGGTAAGAAGCTACACCTGGGAATATTTATAGGCACAAATGAAGGCAGCATGTAATTTCATCAAAATAATATATTTCCAGTAGTTACATTGAGAGAAATTATAGTACACATATATACCTGATTATTTTTCTTTTCAAATCCCAGCCATATACACCACCATTTCCTTTGTAGCGAGTTCCAGAGACAATATCAAAATTACCCTCTTTTTGCTTCCTACAGGGGGAAAAACATGTCAATGAGAAAAAGCTACTGAGCTCAGTAGGTATTTCCATAAACTACACAAACTGAACTTTTAACAGAAAAAGAGAAAAAAACAATGCTAAGGAAACAGATGAATTATTTACCGAAAGACCTTCCAGAATGAGAAATTCAACCCTGTTTTTCTTTTATTTATCTTAAATAAATGAAGGAAAAACTATAACATAGTACTATTTGCTGACTATACCATGTAAAACTATCCTTAAAAGTGTTAGTAAAATTATAAACTAGTCCTTCTACCACCAAAAGTGAACACAATGCTACAAAAGTCTGTTCCTTCTAGATCTTTCTCTTTACATATAAAAATTTAATCAAAGGGGTGCCTCAAAGTTTTTGGTCACATTTACAAAGATGAAATCCAAAAAAGTCCACCTTCTGACTTGCTTTTTGTCAGCTAATAATATATATCGCAGAATCACAGATACCTCCACAGGTCAACAGAAAACTCCCCTCTTTTTAAAAGCCACAAAAATAGTTCCAATCATTCAAGTCAGACATCTGTGATTGTTTTCACGGTGGGTTCCCTACCCCCAGTGACCAAAAAACCCCATAATGAACAATGCCACAATAATCATTCTTAAAAACATTTACCATGATGCTTAAGATTCCCCCAAAATGGAATATACTAGAATTACCAAACAAAAGCTTATTCATATTTCTGATACTGCAGAAATCATTTTCCAAAAGTTACAACTCATAACTTTATTCAGCAATATTTGAATGTGCCCATTTTTTTTAAAACCTATTAGTACTAGATGTAACTGCTCTAAAAGTTTTAAATTTTGAGAAACTAATGGATAATAGTTACTTTATTTTGCATTTCTTTGCATCCTATGGTGAATATTTTCTCTTAAGTTTATTAGCTGCCAGGCGCAGTGGCACACACTTGTAATCCTAGCGGCTTGGAGGCTGAGATGGGAGGATGTCGAGTTCAAAGCCAGCCTCAGCAACGGCGAGGCACTATCAGTGAGACGCTGCCTCTAAATAAAATACAAAATAGGGCTGGGGATGTGGCTCAGTGGTCGAGTGCCCCTGAGTTCAATCCCCAGTACCCCACCCCCCCAAAAAAAAGTTTATTAGCCATCTGAATTTCTTCTACATGTGGCCAGTTGAGTCCAAAATACAATAGAAAATCTATTCCCAGGGTTCCATTTCCTTATTAGGTCAAAGGTGGCTTTGAGTGTTAGAGAGATAAGCAGAAAAGATCTAAGCAATTTTATGTAGAGATCAAAGGATGAGCAGTAGTTGGCCATTAAGGTGTAGTGAAGACACCTTTTCAGCTCTGTGTATATTGAGAAACAAGAGGACTATGCCCAAGGTCTGAGAGCATGGGGTAGTGGCACAAGATCAGGTCAGAAAGAGGCAGGAGCCACTTATATAGGAGTTGGAAGGATGAGGGAGTTTGGATTTTTTCCCTCAGGTGTTGAGGGTTAACTCTGTGAAGTATTCTAAACAGGGAGTGATATGATCTGATTGTCATGCCAGAAGTTTATTCACAGAGGTTTTGTCATCTCTTGGGTTTTTTAAGATTATATCACCTGCAAGCAAATACAATTTTGTATCCTTTACCAATATCTAACTAAATTCTTATCTTACTGTATTACCTAAATCCATGTTTAATGTGAACTGGCCTACCTATTTTAATAAACTTATTGGAAATGATTGATAATTTCAGTATTGGGCATAACATTTATGTTAGGACTAAGTCATTTTAATCATGCTTAAGTAGTTTCCTTCTATTTCAGTTCTTATTAGAAAATGTAACAAATAATACAAACAAAAAATACCTTTTAGTATCTATACACAATCATGCTACTTTCTCTGTTAACATGAGGAATGATTTATACTCCTAGAGTAAACCCTATTTGCTGATAGTGTCTTACTCTAATGATTCAAGGCTTCCTTTAATCTTTCTCTGTGCTCTAAAAGAATTTAGATAACACAGGAATGATCTGTTCATTCATTTCTCAGGGCTCCTAATTTATATCAGTCACACATCTACCTACATTTGTGAGTCTCAAATCTATATGTTGGTTATATTTTAAAAGAAAAGTTAAAATAACATGTACATTTTAAATTCATGAAAAAAAGTCCAAAATCAATGTAAGAAAAATGATTTCAATCGTAACTCTTTTCACATATTAGAAACAGTACCTACCTAATGAATTCAGGAATAAATTTTGGCTGAAATTTAGAAAAAATAAACAGTAAGTCAGTAAAATAGGCTGAAAGTATCATAAACAGCTAATAAAGAAATATGCCCCTTACATGGTGTGAGAGATCAGCATCCATAATAACTATGTAGTTTCCTGTGGCATGTTCCATTCCATGAATATATGCAGTTCCTAAAAATGAAAGCATTTATATCCATTAAAGAATATCAGTAGACACGCATTGGTATACTTTTGAATAGGGAGGAAATTGCTTAGCACTTGAAAAGCAGTATCAGTTTTTTAAAAGTATTACTAAAAGTTGGTCAGTTTCCATCTTAAGTATATAGCTGAGTATCTACTCCATATTCAGATGTCAATTTACTAGATCCCATCTATATTTTAGTTTAGCAAAGAAATAGTAAGATAGTCCCAGAATATATAAAAATTATCATATTCTCATGGTTTAAAAGTCATATTTATGTTGATACTTCCAAGACACTGACAAGGCCAGATACTTCTCAGAGCTCCATATTCATAGAGCAGCCTATTTGCTATCTCCACTTGCATATTAAGAAATCTTACATGTAACATTCCAAAATCACCCCTAAATACCCACCACTTTAATTGGCCACCTTTCAGGAAATTACCAACTATTTGAGTGTTCCACCCACAGGTCTAGGGGTGATCTTTGATTCCCTACCTTACCCAAAACTTTAATTTCTAAACTATTGTTAAGTCCTAATGATTCTATAGCCAAACTCTTTCTCAATTCCCTTCTTTCCATGCACTACCTTCTGATGCCTGGGTTACTACTACCTAACGTGCTTCTCTGCTTCTGCTCTTCCCAGCAGTCCAAGTCCATTTTCACAAAGTGGGAAGAAGCGACTATGGTCAGTAGTTTTGTGGCAGCTTTCATGGAAGTTTCCAGATTATTTCAATCCCCAAAATGTTGAGAGTATGTTTTGAAAAATATTTTTAATTGTAGATGGACACAATAACTTTATTTTTTTATGTGGTGCTGAGAATAGAAACCAGACTTTCACATGTGCAGGCAAGTGCTGCACCACTGAGCCACAATCCCAGCCCAATACTGAGAATGTTTGATGATGCCAGGGAACAAAAGGTCTTCTGAACGGTAGCTTTAGCTCGTAAGAACTGTTTTCTCCATAATTCCCTGATTTTTCATTATGTATACCAATTCTCAACATGAGCAACTGCGGGCAGTGGCAGAAATAAAGGCATTCAGGGTTTCATCTCAATTATTGAGCTCATTTGAGATATTCTATAATGCCCTATATTTAACTGGAAAATCTTTCTATTTTAGAAATAAAAAATAACTTTTAAACTTATGCCCAAAGGTGCAGCTAAAGCAATATGCTGGTCCATGATGTGTTCCCAGACTCATTTTCTGGCCCTTCTCTACGCTATATTGTAAAAACCACATTTTCCAGGTTCCCTTATCATCTGCTTACAGACAATTAGTGAGGTACAGATGCAGACAGTTAGGAGGGAGAAGGACAGTCTACGTGTCCTCCATTGACAGGTTATTTGGCAGGACCACCTCATCATTCTAGCTCCCTCTGGGCAGACCAGGTTTTGGGCTCTAACCTGCCCCCACACCCCTTCATTGCTCCATCTACAGGGGCAGCAGTAAGGAGCCTCCAGTTGTTATTGACTTCTTAGGAACCTCACTGTTCCCTTTGGCTTCTCAGCAATTCCTTCATCTGTGCAACCAAATTCTTTACATTAAATTCCCTATACTCAAAGAGCAGTTTGTTTTTCTGAGTGGGTCCTGACTGACAAAGGTAACCCAAGTTAAACTACTTAAATGTCATAAAGATCACATTAAAATCCACCACGTTGCTATATCTGGTCCTGTTCCAAACTGGGAAATTACACACTGGATGATTTTACCAAGGCAAGTTGCAGGTATGAGGGGGTTAGAGGGTCTACTTACCTAATCCCAGTTTTTTCTCCCGTGGTCTTAGAAGCTGTAGGAAAAAGAAGCAATACTTCAATAAAAAATTTGACTAAATTTTATCTTACCCCTTCCTGTAAGTGCATGTTCATTTTAACAGAAACAATGCATTTATTAGCCTTAAAGTATGCTTAACATTTTTTGCCAAAGTAAAAAAAAAAAGGTGGTAACAAACCAAATACATTAACACAGCTTTTTAGAAAAAGCAACATTCTTTATCCCCAACCCTACAGGCAAAGCATTTTTTTCTGGCACTATCCACCATATTTTAAACAATATTAATTTTACATCTATTACTACATCTGTCATTTAAAACAATGATGCCTTTTGACGCCTTCCTACAAAATTGATGCTATAACTCATTGTTCCATACCTTTTCAGAATAGCTGATAGCCACGTTACTCTCCTGATTCCCTGTGATTTTCAATGCTGACATCACCCTTCCTCCATGAACTTAATCTTAACTTCACACTTGGATGACTTCATCTCATTCTCTACTGCTCCAATAACAAATTATGTTCCTAACAAGAGGTGAAGTTTTCCTCCTTAACAGTTTTCCAATTACTTAGTCTTGTAAACTTTTTGCTTCATATCTGGCCCCTGATTTCGTTGTTTAGCATTTTCCTCTGGCTGGAAACTAGTGAGCATATCTTGTCCCCTTCTGAATTTGGCTGTGAATGAGCAGGTCACCGCAGACTGCCAAATCTCTAACAAAGCCTTCCCAGTTCAATTCAAGCAGGACAGATGTCTTTTCTTTTTGACAACATGCAAAGGTCTTGGGGAAGAACAAAGATGGATACAATTATTCTTGTCCAATAAGAGCTTACAGGGAGGAGAAATAGACACCCACAAGTCATTGGACAGAATCAGACAAGACATGTCAGATCTCAAATTTTGATTCTGTGATTCATAGTTACTGACAAAATACGAGTACCTGCTCTAAATAAGCAAAACTTTTAAAGCTCACGACATTTTCTATAACCTTGTGTCAGCTGGAAATTCTTTTTAAAAAAGATCACTTTATTACTTATAATTTTTAGAATGCTCAAAGGTTTATTATATCCATTACTAAAACAATATTATGAAATAGTTAAAGGTAATGTGGGAATATAGTAACCTCTTCAAGATATCATTAGAAGTACTAATGATTATATTTGTGTTCATAAAAGAAAACTCACTACCTAGTTCTACAGGCATATGCACAAAAATACAAACTGTTGACCTGAGTCTTTTCTGGGGGAAGAGACTGGAATGCACATTAAAAAATGCTTATCAAAGGCAACTTCAATTTTACAGGTAATATTTACATTTTATAATATGTTTAAGCTCAAATTGTTTCCACCTAGTGTGCTTTACTTTCAACCCTTAACCAACCCTACCTCTCCACACTCTCCGGATCCTTTTCTGCCTCCTCATGTCAATCTGACAGCTCCTTTTTATGTAGGGCAGAATAGAGTGGCAGATAGGACCTAGACTCTTGAGCCATGAGACTTTGATTTGAATCTCAGCTACACTGCTCACTAGCCATGATCCTGGACACATATAGTGGCACGACGAAACTCTATCACGGGGCTGGAATGAGGAATAAGCAGTGAATTCCTGTAAAATGCTTGCAAGAGTGCCAGGGACATATTCTGTGAAATATGCTTACTTATAAAATACTTCATGAGGGGCTGGGGTTGTGGCTCAGCGGTAGCGCACTCGTCTAGCACGTGTGAAGCCCTGGGTTTGATCCTCAGCACCACATAAAAATAAATGAATAAAGTACAGATACTGTGTCCAACTACTTCTAAATAAAATAAAATACTTCATGAAATACTATAATTTGAGCAACAAGAAACCTTTGCAAGATATTCTTATGAGGAAATCTTGGAAAAAAAAAAAGATAATTAGTAAAAAATATTCCAAGTAAGCCATGTGACTGTATTTAAAAACACATGCAGTTTTAAAACCCACTGTACACTTTAATACCATCAAAAGTAAAGTATGAATATTTTGAGGGTTATGACATTATTGCCAGCTGAGATTTCAGAAAACTATGTCAACCTATTCTAGGATCAATAGATTTGAATCCAACCATTTACCATACTTTCAAAAACACTGGTTTAAGGGCTGGGGCTGGGGCTCAGCGATAGTGTACTTGCCTGGCATGTGTGAAGCACTGGGTTCGATTCTGAGCACCACATATAAATAAATAAAATAAAGGTCTATCCACAACTAAAACAAAACACAAAAAACACTAGTTTAAAAAAAAAAAATAGAAAAGAAACCTTCCACTAAGAAAGGCTAATTATACTCTTCTATTGTGCAATTCTTAGTGAGGCTCATTTTTTTCCCCCACATTGACTGGTCATTTATAGCTCTTATTTTATGAATTATCTGGTTAGGTAATTATTTGGTTAGGGTACTAATCTTGTTAAATATAATATTTTTGTATTTGAGGATAAAGTTTAATTATTTTAAAGTAACCAAATCTCTTGAATGTATAGTTATTTGATGTTTTAAAATATAACCGATGTCTTAAAATAACAAATATATTACATTTTATTATCAGAACATTTTCTAAAAATACAAAATTACAAAATATGTTAAAATATAAAAATTAAAATGCTAAGTGTTCTGAAGTTATTTATGTTCCACATATAAATAGTCACCTTTCTAACCTATAATCACCTACCTGCAAATAGTATTCTCTACTAAAGAATGAGTACCCAGAGAAAGGGCAAAGAAAGACTCACACAAATTGCAACTTGATTCTTTGATATTACTTGTCAATTCAACAACATGTTTTAATTTTGCCAAAGAAAACTCACTGCAGTAATCAGTCACAAAAACAGCATTCATTCAGGGGCTGGGGCTGTAGCTCAGTGGTAGAGCACTTGCCTACCATATGTGAGGCACATAAAAAATGAATGAATGAATGAATGAATGAATAAATAAAATAAAGGCATTCTGTTCATCTACAACTATTAAAAAGATGAAAAAAAGTATTCATCCTAAAGCTCACTCTTTTGCTATAAAATTATCACTAACGCAACACAGCAATGATATGTAAAATTTTAAGCAGAATGAAAAAGCATTTCATTCTCAAGGGCATAAGTTGTTCTTTTTCTTTTCACTTCTAGGCAAATAGATTATATTTGAGCATTGTTCATTTGTCATCTTTTCCATATACAAACATAATTCATATGACATAAAAATGCTCATGTAACTTACAATTTTGTCGGATCCATAGATCTTTTCCAACTGTTCAGCAACATCCTTTGTTCCATCTGGACTTCCATCATCTATGATTATAATTTCATAGTTGATTCCACTAAAATTTAAAAATTTGAATTTGTATTAATGTTTGGAGAATTTTTCAAATTTAAAAATAATTTAATAATTGATTTCTCACTAGTATAAGTGAAGACTTACTGCCATATTAGTCACTAAAGAAAACTTCAAGTATCAAATTAAATAAATGCCAAACATTTAATACTTCACCTCCAAACCTAGTAAATTGCTGGAAAATGCTATTAGGATGACCCAAGATACCAAAAAATTCTTACACAAAAAAAATACACTTTAGTTAGAAAATCTTATATACATGTATCATACATACATATCACATATGATATCCTATGAAATTTTATTTACCTACTTTCCAAGTGAAAACTTGGAATCTTAATATCAAATCTTAGGTATGTAAAATATTTCAAAAGTACTTTAAGTGGCAACTCAAAACAAATTGAGTATTTTGAGATTATGCTTTTTAGTTTAATACAAGCAGATTTAAATATCAGGAATAAATCTGACTTAATTTCACTCTTAAAAAATGTTTAGAATAGTGTTCACAATCTTTTAAATGCCTGTTTCAAACAGTAGGACCCATTAACTCACACTACAAAATAAAAAAAAAAACAAAAGCACAGTAGATTTATAAGAGATTTTACTGTGCTTCAACATTAATATCTGTTACTTTCTATTAACTTCACATGATAGTTTCTTTTCTATTTAAAAAACGAGCCAACACAAAGTATTTATTTGGTGAATAAATACTTTGTGAATGCATACTTAATCACCACCCTGCTTCCCTCTATCTCCACCTTCCCCTTTAATAAAGACATTGCAAAGTTAAAGGGGAAAGGAAGAACACAACACTGCTACCTCTTGATTTTGCTGTAAGCAATATATGCAAAGAAATGAAACAGACAACACATCCCACTGCTAAAGGCCTAAAAAAGCCAGCCCCAGCAAACTTAAAATATAAAACAGCCAATCTATTCCCCTATAGGTATGGCTACTTCGCTTTCCCACTGAGCTCTTAACTTTGGGAACAACTTTTAACACCCCAAACAGTAAGATGAGCATTCTAGTAGAATGCTAAAAGAAGTATATCTCTCAAACAAAATGGAGTTATTCATAAGCAAAATTCTCCGTGTTCAAATCAGCCAAGTCACCTTAAGGTGAGGCAGCGTAAATAAAGCTGAGGTGACAACGTAATCTGCACCTACAAAATGGTTTCCTTCACTAAACTACATTTTGATTTTTAAAAGCATGCCCAGAAACCATTACAAAAATTATAATAAATAAACTGTGTAGGGGCGACAGTAATCTCAACTGCTCTGCTGGGGAGGCTGAGGCAGGAGGATCGCCAGTTCCAAGCCAGCCTCAGCAAAAGCAAGGTGCTAAGCAACTCAATGAGCCCTATAAAATACAATATAAGGCTGGCGATGTGGCTCAGTAGTGGAGTGTTCCTGAGTTCAATTCCCAGCACTCCCATTTAAAAAAAAATTAGAATAAATTGAACTTCATAATATACCCACTGACATGTATGCACATATACCTGTATGTGTGATGAAAATCAGACTATAAACCTAGAACAAGATTGGCTACATGATTAATTTTTAATTTGGAAAGAGCGTCAGAATAGAATTAAAAACACATACATCTAAAGTGGAAAAGAGATACGAGTTAAATTTTGAGGAGCCTTAAACGTGCAGATAGTTATTCCAAGAAATACGATCAAATCAGCAATGGTTTCCACCAAGGGTTTACAACAACGTAAATCTGGTAATGCTCAGGTTGGCTGATTGTAAAGCAAAAGCCAAAACAAAAACCAAACCTCTGGAAATAATTTGGTTACTGACATGACCCGGGTAAATAAATGATAACATAGCCATAGTGCTATCGCCTAACTTTTCAAAAATAATTTGCTACGATTGTACGTGTTGCTATGGAAAAACGTTTACAGATTTTCGCAGCATGATCGCATTTGTCTAACCGTCATACAAATTACTCTGAGCCGCCAAGATTCTCTCTCTCTCTCTTTTTTTTTTTAATCGCACAACACTTCGAAATTCAAACTCCAAAATTCTCCTTTCTAGAAACCCCACCAAACACCCCACAGGGCTCGCCGAGGCCGCCCTGCTCGCTCCTCTGCGGAAAGGCGATCCCGCCCGCGGCGGTTCCCTACCCCACGGGCCCAACCTCACGCTTACATAAGCCCTCGGCGCCGGGGCGGGGAGGAGCGCGCCCGCTCGGGCCCCGGCTCCGGCGGCGGCCATGACCACCGAGGGGGCGGCTCAGGCTTTCAGCTGCGCCCCAGGTAAAAGTGGGGGGTCAGCCTTTTAAGAAAAAAGCGGCGAGCGGAGGCAGAAGGCGTTCGTCACCAGGACCGCGAGCGTCTCACAACACCCGGGAGCTGGACCGAGAACCAGGACACGAGAACACTCGGCAAGTGTCCGTCTTTCCTTCCTCGCGGGGTGGCCTCCTCCTCGAGGCTGCCTGCGTGAGCCCGGGGAAGGCTGGCAGGGCCGCCTCGCGCAGCCAACCGCCGCCACCCAGGCCGGCGGAGCCAGCTCATCCCGTTCCTCGGGGAGGAAGGTCGGGCGCGCTACCTCTCGGAGAAGCTCTTCACCAGCAGCCACACGATGAGCGGCAGGTTCTCGCGCTCGTTGTAGGTGGGTAAGAGCACCGAGTACTTGTCCTGGCATCGGGAGCGCCCCTCCGGCTCCTGCCGAGAGCTGGCAGGACTCCGACGCGACTCCACGGAGGCCATGGCGTAGCAGCGCAGGACGCCGGAGGCGGAATTACGTCACGCGGCGCGGAACGTACCAAATCCCGGAAGAGGGGTGTGGCCTGTGTGACTGAATTGCACTTCTTCCAGGCCTTGTGCGTGGTTCAGTTGGAAGTAGGCAGGATTTGTGAACCTTTTAAATTGAGTCGGAAGACTTCTTCAGGAAATGCCTACCTATTTGTCGCCTTTACTCAAGTTTATGAAGTTGTTTTAGTTTATTCCAGTCGCTAGGAGACAGTAAGCCGGATACGGAAGTGCTTCTCAGGACCATATCCGGAGGAGGTCGCCATGGCTGCTCCTGAGCAGGTGCTCGCCTTACAGGCTGAAGTTGCCCGGCGTGAGGAGGAGCTGAGTTCTCTGAAGCAGCGGCTGGCGGCAGCTCTTTTGGCAGAACAAGAACCTGAGCCAGAACGGCTGGTTCCGGTGTCGCCGCTGCCGCCCAAGGCCGCCCTGTCCCGAGAAGAGATTCTGCGCTATAGCCGGCAGCTAGTACTGCCAGAGCTGGGCGTGCACGGACAGCTGCGCCTGGCTGCCGCGTCGGTGCTCATCGTGGGCTGCGGTGGACTCGGCTGCCCGCTGGCGCAGTACCTGGCCGCAGCCGGCGTGGGCCGCCTTGGCCTGGTGGACTACGACGTGGTAGAGATGAGCAACCTAGCCCGCCAAGTGCTGCATGGCGAGGCACTGGCCGGACAGGCCAAAGCCTTTTCTGCTGCCGCCTCGCTGCGCCGCCTCAATTCGGCGGTGGAGTGCGTGCCCTATGCTCAAGCGCTTACCCCAGCCACGGCGCTAGACCTGGTCCGCCGGTACGACGTGGTGGCCGACTGCTCCGACAACGTGCCCACTCGTTATCTGGTTAATGACGCCTGCGTGCTGGCCGGCCGTCCTCTTGTGTCGGCCAGCGCCCTGCGCTTCGAGGGTCAAATCACAGTTTACCACTATGACGGTGGGCCTTGCTATCGCTGCGTGTTCCCCCAGCCACCCCCAGCAGAGACGGTGACCAACTGTGCAGATGGTGGGGTGCTCGGTGTGGTAACTGGGGTCCTGGGCTGCCTGCAGGCGCTGGAGGTGCTGAAGATCGCTGCAGACCTGGGTCCCTCCTACAGTGGCAGTCTGTTGCTCTTTGACGCTCTCGGAGGGCATTTCCGCTGTATTCGGCTGCGGAGGCGCAGGCCCGACTGTGCAGCTTGCGGGGAGCGTCCCACTGTTACCGACCTGCAGGACTATGAGGCCTTCTGTGGCTCTTCAGCTACCGATAAGTGCCGTTCCCTGCGGGTTCTGAGCCCAGAGGAGCGTGTTTCTGTCACTGACTATAAGCGACTTCTGGATTCTGGGAAACCCCATTTATTGCTGGATGTCAGGCCTAAAGTGGAGGTGGACATCTGTCGTTTGCCTCACGCCCTTCACATCCCTTTGAAACATTTAGAACGGAGGGATGCGGAAAGCCTGAAACTCCTGGGAGAAGCAATCCAGGAAGGGAAGCAGCGTATTCAAGAAGGGGCTGCACTCTCCATTTATGTGATTTGCAAACTAGGAAATGACTCCCAGAAAGCTGTGAGGATCCTGCAGTCCTTAACAGCAGCCCAAGAGTTAGACTCTTTAATGGTTCAGGATGTGGTGGGGGGACTCATGGCCTGGGCTGCCAAAATCGATGGGTCATTTCCACAGTACTGAAGTGACTGTTGTCATACCTCAAAGATATATTTATTTACATCCTTCCCATAATATAGAGAAGAATCCAGTATTTATCTGACTACATAACCTCCTTTTTATAAGGAGCTTTTTGGTTGTAATGTAATATTAATGGATTATAATACCCTCTCTGAGAACCTTCTTGAGTTTTCAGCATTTAGAGGGTGCCTTGAACATCAGATATAATGTGATAGGATTTTGTGTTTTACTTTTGCCTCACTTGCATTTTTCCACCTCTTTAAATCAAAACTCTAAATCATACATCTAGAATTAAGATGTATACTTAGTCTTACTGAGTTGATCACAGATGATATATTTGGTGTCGGTTTATTGTTAATAAGATATTATTTGGGTCTTATTTCTACTTCAAATAATAGAATATATCCTACAGAAATAAATGTTTAATAAAACTGTATTATTGTTTGGTTTGCTTTGAAATCTTCTAATCCAGGCCCTCTTTTCACCCCTCCTCCTCTATCTGCCTTTTCTGTTTTGATTTATTCTAGTATTTTGTAACAGTGTACAATGTAGGTGTTTTATGTTTGTTTACTTATTAAAATTATTTTTAATGAAAGGCAGATCATACCCAGCTTACAATGTATACAACAAAATTAAAAGTAAAAATTTGGTATACTCTTGTATATCAGTGGCCAGCTGAAGAACACATGGCCTGTCAAAGGGGGGCTTCAACCCTCCATCTGCTTGTTGAAGGCAGGCCATAATCAGATTTTTTTGTTTGTTTTAAGAGCAGAAATCACAGATGTAATGTGAACTCTCTGTGTCTGGCAATAAATATACTTTTTTAAAAAAAAGTTTAAAAACATTGTTGCAGGGCAAAAGTCTTACACACTTAACACAGGCCAGGTTTATACACCAATTTGCAACTGCTGGTACAGAGTCTTGTTATTATGAAAGGGTGATATTGTTTAAGAATCACATTCAGAATTAGAATAGTCATCACTTTAACCGTGGAACATTGTAACTCATTCTTTGAACAGGTATAGTCTTTGTCAAGAGGTTGGAACAGGTCACTTTTTTTTTTTTTTTAAAGAGAATTTTAATATTTGTATGTGGTGCTGAGGATGGAACCTGGGCCGCACGCATGCACGCTACCGCTTGAGCCATATCCCCAGCCCATGGAACAGGTCACTTTTGACTGCTCCTCTGGAGGCCTCACTGAGTGCCTGAGACCTAGAGTGGAGCACAAAGGTGGCCAGCTTTTGCCTCTTACCTGTTGTTCAGGGGAAGCCGACTAATGCAGATCTGGAAACAGATTCCTGTCCTAACTCCTGTCTGTTGTGGCTGTTCCTGCAAACCTGATTGTCAGTGGGCCCAGGCAACAGAAGCTGACTGTTAAGCTAATTAAGTGGGGAAAGGGTTTTTAAAAGTGTTGGGAGGTGCTCTTGAGACTTTTGGGAACAGACTTGAAGCTGTACTTCCAGGAATGATGATCCAAAACCATGTGTAGAACTGGGCCCAGAAGAACAAACTGCACTGCCCCATCGAGCACTAGAGGAAACTGCGTCCATGCCATCGTTAATCTTCCTTGAACCAGCCCCTCCTCTCTTAGAAGACTCAGCATCTTTCTGCCACAGACCTTTTCGATGAGAGTTGCTCCGTGTTTACCTGGTCAGCAGAGCCAAGTCACATTCCTAATCCCAGCTGGGTTGAGCCCCGATGTCTACAGTGGGGAGGGCAGAGCTCCTGATGTGCCGTTTTCCCAAAGAGTGGGAGGCTTTTCAAACAGATGCTCTGTGAAGACTGGGACAAGCAGGGTGCAGAGGCGCACCTATAATCCCTGCCACTCAGGAGGCTGAGGCAGGAGGATCACAAGTTCAGGTTCAGCCTCAGCAACAGTGATGCCCTAAGCAACCTAGTGAGACCCTGTCTCAATATTTAAGAAAGAGTTGGAAATGTGGCTCAGTGGTAAGACACCCCCCGGGTTCAGCTCATGGTACAAAACAAAAGCCCATTTGTATGATCATAATGTTCATATAATATGGATACTTTGACAACATTTTGTTAGAAATAAATGTTTAAAAGGATAAAATTATTTTTAAAGATAATCATGAATATATATATTTAGTTGTAGATGGACACGATACTTATGATACTTTCATTTTATTTCTGTATTTTTATGTGGTTCCAGGGATCGAACCTGCTGCCTCATGCATGCTAGGCAAGCGCTCTACCACTGAGCCACAATTCTGGTCCATGAGTCATCTTTTAGTATTTTTTTTTAAATTTAATCCACTCCCTCCTACCCCCGCTGTTGTTAAGGGTTAATTTATGGGTTTAATTCAGCCTGAAACACTACAGGTACAAATTTCCAAAAGTAACCATTTGTAAGCTTGTTTCTTTTACCCACTCCCATCTTCATTCTGATTATCATGAAGGTACACTCCAAGAAATTACATGTAATCACCAATTCATCAAAATACTACGAAAGGCAAAAAATATATAGATTAATTAAAAATGGAAAACACAAGATGCACGTGTTAAATTGTTGAAGCAGCTTTAGACCTCCCCCTGACGCTCCAGGGCCACCCAAATAAAAAAGACCTAAATCATAGTTTGTGGTGGTTTCATTTTGCCTTATGTTTGTTTGTTTTTCTATTTAAGCCTAAGTGTTTCTTCCAGCCTATGGCTGTTTCATTTGTTTTTGGCCTTTAAAAACTAGGAGATATGAACCAGGTGCAATGGCACACATCTACAATTCCATTGAATTGGGGGGTTGAGGCAGGAGGATCACAAGTTCAAGGTCAGCTCAACAGCAAGACCCTCAGCAACTTAGACTCTATGTCAAAATAACTTATGACTGCCACAGTCTGGCTGGGCACAAAATAACCAAGGTGCCACACAGCCTTGTAGGTTCAAAACAGGAACTCCTTTATTCTCCACACTCCTGCAAACACCACCCACGAGGCCTTCTCTCGGGACACCCCCACACACCAACCGGAAATCCCTCTCCGGGCCCTTCCCCAACCAATGGGAACTCTCCGGGAATCCTCGGGAGAACTCCAAAGTAGCGGCCTAGGCGGACAGCAGGGGTCTAATATACACAGCTTAACATAACCATTATCATCTCAATGGCTTGCTGGCGTCACCTCTCAACCACTCCGTTCTGGCAAAAATGCCATGCATCATTCGGACTCGTGGCTATGGCTCTCAGCATATGATCTTTATGCCTCAGCCTCCTGAGCTGCTGGGCTTACAGGGATCCTCCAGTGCACCCATGCACATTTAGTTTTTAAAAAATGTTTAGGCTTTTAAAAGTAACTCATGCTCAGGAAAAATGATTAGATTTTCA